GAAACGTCCGCCTAATTCCACAAATCCCATTTTGGTACCATGAGACCAAATTGGGATTATTATGTGAAAGGAAAAGACCACATTGCCCTTCATTTTAAATATTATTTTTAAAATATCACAGCCCCTACTGGCCGGCCGGTCACCAGACCTCCGGCAGCGGCGGTCACCGGAGCTCTGGCGACCAGCCGACAATTGGTCACAGGAGCTCCGGCGGTCGGAATTTTTTTTTTTTGAAAATTTTTACAACTTCAATATAACGGTTAACAACTTTTGTAATGTTATTAACAACTTCAATATAGTAATTAACAACAGCTTTTCTGGAAAATTCAACAAACTCCGGCGACCGGAAACAATTATTTTGAAAATTTTTACAACTCCAATATAACCGTTAACAACTTTTGTAATGCCATTCACAACTTCAATATAGCAATTAACAACAGCTTTTCTGGGAAATTCAACAAATTCCGGCGACCGGAAACAATTTTTTTGAAAATTTTTACAACTTCAGTATAGCGGTTAAAAACTTTTGTAACCCTATTAACAACTTCAGTATAGCGGTTAACAACAACAAACTCAGGCGACCGGAAACAATTTTTTTGAAAATTTTTACAACTTCAATATAACGGTTAACAACTTTTGTAAGCCTATTAACAACTCAGTATAGTGGTTAACAACAGGTTTTTGAGTTTGTTAAAGGCATTACTGAAGTTATAAAAAAGCCACTTTTTGAATTTTTCAAAAAATTTGTTGTTAACTGCTATATCAAAATTGTTAACTGTTATATTGGAATTGTAAAAATTTTCAAAAAAACGTAATTGTTAACATTATACTGAAGTTGAAAATTTTTACAACTCCAATATAACGGTTAACAATTTTTATAATGCTATTAACAACTTCAATATAGCAATTAACAACAAGTTTTCTAGGAAATTCAACAAACTCCGGCGACCAGAAATAATTTTTTTGAAAATTTTTACAACTTCAATATAGCGGTTAACAACTTTTGTAAGCCTATTAACAACTTCAGTATAGCGGTTAACAACAGGTTTTTGAGTTTGTTAAAGGCATTACTGAAGTTATAAAAATGTCACTTTTTGAATTTAAAAACTTGTTGTTAACTGCTATATCAAAGTTGTTAACCGTTATATTGGAGTTGTAAAAATTTTCAAAAAAATGTAATTGTGAACGTTATACTGAAGTTGAAAATTTTTACAACTCCAATATAACGGTTAACAACTTTTATAATGCCATTCACAACTTCAATATAGCAATTAATAACAGCTTTTCTGGGAAATTCAACAAACTCCGGCGACCGGAAACAATTTTTTTGAAAATTTTTACAACTTCAGTATAGCGGTTAACAACAGGTTTTTGAATTTGTTAAAGGCATTACTGAAGTTATAAAAGTGTCACTTTTTGAATTTAAAAACTTGTTGTTAACTGCTATATCAAAGTTGTTAACCGTTATATTGGAGTTGTAAAAATTTTCAAAAATGCCATTCACAACTTCAATATAGCAATTAACAACAGCTTTTCTGGGAAATTCAACAAACTCCGGCGACCGGAAACAATTTTTTTGAAAATTTTTACAACTTCAGTATAGCGGTTAACAACTTTTGTAACCCTATTAACAATTTCAATATAGCGGTTAACAACAGGTTTTTTCAACCGCTATACTGAAGTTGTTAACCGCTATACTGAAATTGTTAATAGGGTTACAAAAGTTGTTAACCGCTATACTGAAGTTGTAAAAATTTTCAAAAAAATTGTTTCCGGTCGCCGGAGTTTGTTGAATTTCCCAGAAAAGCTGTTGTTAATTGCTATATTGAAGTTGTGAATGGGATTACAAAAGTTATTAACGGTTATATTGGAGTTGTAAAAATTTTCAAAATAATTGTTTCCGGTCGCCGGAGTTTGTTGAATTTTCCAGAAAAGCTGTTGTTAATTGCTATATTGAAGTTGTTAATAGCATTACAAAAGTTGTTAACCGTTATATTAAAGTTGTAAAAATTTTCAAAAAAAAAAATTCCGACCGCCGGAGCTCCGGTGACCAATTGTCGGCTGGTCGCCGGAGCTTCGGTGACCGCCGCTGCCGGAGGTCTGGTGACCGGCCGGCTAGTAGGGGCTGTGATATTTTAAAAATAATATTTAAAATGAAGGGCAATGTGGTCTTTTCCTTTCACATAATAATCCCAATTTGGTCTCATGGTACCAAAATGAGATTTGTGGAATTGGGCGGACGTTTCTGGGCTTTTGGAATTGGAGGTGCATTTTTCTGTCTTTTTCCCAAAATTTAATACACTTTTTAATTTTTATTCTCAATTATCTGCTTATTTTTTATTTTATTTTTTCACCCGCTCTCAATCACCGCTTTGTAAATGAGAATATATTTAATAAAAAAATAGTGCATCTCTGATACATTTTTTTATATTTTTAACTACTTTAATCAATGTTTTGATTTATTATTACTTATAAACAATTAATTTAATAATATATGCTTTGATTTCAACCCCTACGCCTCTACCTGCCTGTAATAAAGTGAGGAAACCTTCGGGAGGTGCCCAGTCCAACGCGCTAAACTTGCCACGCGGGATTGGATATCGATCCCTTTCTACCTCGATTTTGACGACTCGATCGCTATCGTGTTCCTGTAACACTTGGCCACGTAGGAAGGCCATCCTGCCAAATGCTAACCTCACGTGCTTTCAGCAGCGAATGATACTTACGCGCTTTTACTTACATTCTTCGTGACTCGTGGCGTCGTATCATTGGTTAAGATTAAGCACCCCTGCCAAGCGAGAATGCGCTTACAAAGAGAAAAACCAGATAAACGAAGAATTTACAAATAGAACAGAAGAATTCACAAAAAAAAAAAAAAGGACTGCTTACAACTATAATAAGACGATAAGATGGACTAAGATCATTTACAGGTGAAGCTAGCATTCCTAATAAAGTCAACAAGTTAAGATTTACAAGTGAAATGTAATTGATAAGAGAATTAAGATAGTTTACAACTACAGTAATCAAGGACAATAACATCTTTTTGCCTATAAAATTTTATTTTATTTTGGACATTAGAATGCGATGAAATTTTAGAATTTTATGAAACTGTTGAAAAATAAGTTTCTCCCGTGAGGGTTAATTGAAATTCTACCAAAATATAAGTAAATCAAATAATCATACTATCATATAAAAAAAAAAAAAAAGAGACATGAGACACTCAAGGCTTGTTTGGAACAGCTTATAAGCTACTTTTTAATAGTTATTTACCAAATACGACTTAAGTATATGAAAAGAATTTTATCTCGATTTACGTAAAACGTCTTTATAGGAAATTTCTATCGCTCTGCCAAACGAGGCCTCACTAGATAGGGTGGCAAATTGCAAAATTGACATTTTCGAGGTTGCACTCATTTCTATGTCTTTCATTGGGCCATTCAACCATTCCGCAAGACAGGCCCCAATAGAGTCCCGTAATGGGCTTCCCCAGGTGATGCCCTTTTCTTCTTGCCCAAATAAGCCCAATTGTAACCCTACTTGTTTTCTATTCGGATGTCACTGTGCTTTGCTTTTCTTTTTTTTTTTTCCTCTCTTCTAAAACATAGGTATCCTCATATTAGAGAAAATTCTATTCAAGACACTTTTAGACACTAAATGTGGGTACCTCTCCCAGTAGGAATTCGAACCTTGATTCGTCATTTCGTGAGGAACTAGTTCCTTTTACTAGACCAAATCCCTATTGGTTGTGCTTTGCTTATTTGATTGAACGGTTCCCTTGTTTTCTTATATTGGACTTGAAGAAGTGATTATCCTTTAATTTAATGGATGAAAAATGAAAATGTGATCAAACCCTTACGTGAAAGCCTTAAAACCAAAAAAACATTTATCCCTTGACGTATAACCAAAAAAGGCACTAACGCCGTGAATGATCGTTTAAATTTTGACATTTCAAGTTTTTCAATATAACTATAAAAATAAAAAATGATTATTGCATGTTAAAAATTAGTTAAAACAAGTATACAGTCTCCAATAAATTCCAACAACGTCGTTAACAAGAGCAAGCTTAGAATTGCTAATGGCCTCCAATACCAATACCAACAGGAAAGGCAATGGTAAAGCAGGAGCACTAATAACTCAATTATGATTGGCTGAAAGTAAAAAAATAAAAAATAAATAAAAAGGAAAAAAAATCTAAGTCAAAGATATTCTCTTACTCTTTTTAGGGAATATATTCTCAATAAGCCCAACTGAGACCTTTCTTTTTGTTATAAACCAATAAAAGAATATCTCTCTTTGGATTTGTTCCGACTAAAATAATGTTATATACAAATATATTTACTGGCATTGCCCATATATTTTTACTCATGAATCTTGACACGCTAAGGGTCATAAATCCTCTTAAAATATTTTCGTACTTGTCCATATATGTGCGCATATATTTTAAAAGAAATTTGGTTATCAAATTAATAAATAATGAAAAATTATTCAAGGCTAAAAACCATCTTACGTATTCTAAAATGTTAATATAATTTTAATCTTTAAAATTTAAAATATTTTTTATTTTAGTTACTAAAATTTGAAACCCGTGTTTTTATTTATGATATTTGAAACCATATTTAGCTTCCATAAATTAAAATTTATAGATGAAGCGAATTTCAAGAACTAAAAATATTTATTTTAAGTTTTATGGACTAAAATTAAAATGAAATTAAATTTCAGATATTAAAAATTATAAAAATCATTTTTGACCAACAATTTATTGAAAATAAGTTATGATCTACGTATGTGCCCAAAGATCAGGTAACACATGATCCATCCCGAAATAAATAAATAGAATAAACAACATATTCTTATGCGAATGATGAGCTTTGCTAAATTAATTCTCTATCTCCGATTGGTTCCTAGGAGCACAAATTGAACAAAGGAAATTGCAGGAGAAAATTTGAAGAGACCTTGGAAATAAGAAAAAGCAATATATTCCAGTGTGCGGCAAAGCCTGCATTTTTGTACAGAATCACTAGAAATCAAATTATTCTGCTCTGGAACTTTCGCAAGTAGTACAATCAAAGAGACTCACTCATCCTTCCTTTCCTCATCGCATCGCAATAAAACGAGACTGAGCCTGAGGCATTCTTCCCCTTCATTTTTGCTTCAGTAAAAAACGACAAGGGGAAAATCAAAGTGCCGAGAGAGACAGAGATGAACGACGACACGAAGAAGAGCATTGCGGGGCCTCTTATGGCGAAACCCAACTCCGAAGATCGGAAGCTGTCATCGGCGGCGGCGGCCACACCCACCCCAACCAAGAAAGTCATCATTAAGAGTGCTGATATGTTGCCCGACATGCAGAAAGAGGCCGTAGATATCGCCGTCAATGTTAGCTCCTTTTCTGATTCTTTCAGTTTTTCCTACATTTGCTTCTTGTGTAATTTCTTCTGGGGTTTTTCTCTGGGCTTGCTTTGTTTTTGCTCTGTTGGGTTCAAGATTCCTGCTTTTTTGGGTGAATTAGGCATTTGAGAAGCACAACATAGAGAAAGATGTTGCCGAGCATATAAAGAAGGAGTTCGATAAGAGACATGGACCCACTTGGCATTGCATCGTTGGCCGTAATTTCGGTACTCTTCTTCTGTACTTTTTTAAAATTTTCCTTCTTGGACTTGACTGGCGTTTAATCGCATTCCCCTTGCCAAAAATGGAGTAGATCTAAGCTTCAAGTAGGTCGTCGTTTTCATCCTTAGTTGTTCTGCGCTGCAAATTCCGTTGCTTTTCTTCAGAATTACAAGTTAGAAGTAATGTTAAGGCTTACTTTGTCCACTTTTCTCTCTTTCCCTTCCCTCTGTATATAATTTTTTGGCGGTTTCGTCCTACTAATTTGGCTGTGCTTTATTTTTATATCTCTTCCTCCTTCCCAAACAAAAGCCTAAGTTGAAAGGTTGTAAAAGGGCATCTGGTTTAGTTTGTTTCTTTACGTACTTATCAACTTATGCACTTTGCTGATGGACAAACCACAATTGCTATCTGGTTTCAACTGCCTCATGACTCGTTTAACGGGACCTGCAGATCTGCAGTTAATGATATTTCCTTCTCTTTTAGCTTGCAAGTCTTGTTTGCCTGCTAGCCTGCTAGGTGATGATGAAGCAAATAAGCAATATATTCTCCAATGGGTGGCTAACCTTTTATCTGGTATACAAGGCAAATACTGCCTGCATGAAAAGCAACATTAGATATTGGTGCTCCATTCCAATGTACTATGATTAGAGACCCTCAGAACTGATAATTCACTAGGCAAAGGAAATGTGATTTTGACGCTAGAATGGCCTATAAAATAGGAGGACTTCGGATTTAGTGGTTAAACTTTCTGCTTGACTTGTTTCTCAGTTCATAAGGATGAGAATATACTTTTAGATCAGTATGTGGTGTTTTGAAATTTAGAGGAAATTGTGTTTGCTCACTCTAGTCTTTGGCTCCAATTGCAATATCTTATCTAATCTATTGAAATTACTGCAACTGGACATGAGGTGTAACTATGGCTACATCAGTGCAAAGGAATTTCTATTTCCACGTTCTAGGTGCTATGCCTGTAGAAATGTAGTACTGTGTCAGTAAGTTAGCTACGGGTTAGAATATTAAGATGAAATTTCAAATGGGAAGAACATTTTAGTAATACCATACAGCTAAAAATTTTAAAGATTGGGGGATTGTTGCAATGTAGCCAAGAAATCGGGGGGGCCAATTATGATTTTTTTAATAGATTAGGAGGGACGTTACAATTGAAGCAATCTATTGTCTGTAACTTCAAGATTATATTTTTAGTTTTTACTTCATTATAATATGCATCAAGTGCATTAGAAGAGTACAGGAACATTGAAATATAACAGAGCTTCAATATGATCAGTTAGTCTATGCTCCCTCTGTCATCTGTTGCCCTGGCTTTATGCTTTACTAAATTTCATTATTCAAAACTAATCCAAGTATTACAAAACATTTAAAACTCTTTTAAATTTGCAAAGACAAGTTTTTAAATTGATGTATTGTAATACTTGTAGGAGTAAAATTCTAATGTGTTTAGTGTTCATCAATATGCTTTTAATGGGTTTATGGCAAAGGAAGTCATTTCTCCGTCTCAATATCATTAACCTGCTAACAGGAAATTTTTGAAGAGGGCTGTCTTCTTGATTTTGGAATAAAGAGATATTATGCATTATTCATTCTTTATAGTAATATATTTGTAAACATTAAGCTATAGTTTGTATTTCATCGTATCTGTTTGATTTATATGAGCTCAAGTTTATGCCTTCTTATCCCCCCATGTTCCAAGTAAGAAAGCCTTAAAAGTGTTACCTTTTGATGCCATCCCAAGTAGCCCTTAAGGTGTTCTTTGGTGCAAGGGCTTCTTTAATTTTCCCTGGAAATCTCATTCGGGAGACTAATTAAGCCATGATTTGAGCATAATTAGACCAAGTTTTAAAATGTTTCACTGGATTCTTGATTCTCCTCAATATTTGGTTGCTCTTGAAATTGCTATCCTGATTAGAAGCCTGAGTTTATGATTTTCTACATTCCTCGTTTTGATATGAATGAGCTCAGGTGCCATAGATTTTCTATTCTTTCTCCTTCACCAAAGCTCAGGCAACTTCCATAACGTGTAGACAATCGGTAAATGAGAGTGAATTATTTGCGGAGAACTTCAACAATATTATCTACTCTTACCTAATGCTTCATCTTAATCGTATCTGAATTCAACTAGAAAATCTCTCCCTCCCTCCCTCCCTCTCTCACAAACACTCACACAATTCGAACATAATTTTAATGCTCCATTATATTTGAGCATGAGTTGATATAGCGGATCATGTGTTCACGACTCTAAGAAACCCTGCTGTGCTCCTATTTTACCTTTCTGTTTCTGGTTGTAACTCTGTTTGGCTGATGAGAAAATGGCAGAGGAAAAGATACCAGTGGTATATTTTAATTTTGAGAGTGATGTGCACCGAAGTATAATGGAGAACTGTTTCATGAAAAGCTAGCAATTGAGGTGCGAAAATCAGTGCTCGTTGCACTCCGTTGAGCATTTTTATCCTAAATGCAGAACTAACATACAATATTACTCTGGTTTCCATCAAATAGAGAGTGAATGAAGCAGAGACGGATATTTTGGTTTTTGCCACATTTCTTACTTTGATAAATCCATTTGAAGTTTCCTCATATACCAAGTCACGGGGTGAAATTAAAATTGATTTTCATGGCTTTAGACATTTAGTGCTTATCTTAAGAGTTGTAGCAGTGTAGTGACTGAAATAATCTTGGGAAAGAAAGTGAAAGAAAAGCTTCAGAATGTGGCCGTTTATAGCCACTAAACTCGCTTTTATTGAATCGATATGATTTAGGAAATCAGTTTTTCTTCAGGTTTCCACTTAACGAGATAGCTTAGTATCACATACATGGTTCTTCTATGTCAAAGTTCTATACAACTACTGGTATTCACTGCAACATCAGAAATTTCTCTTGGCCTTGTTCTTTTTTAAATACATAGGTGGCAAATAATGTTGTAAGGAGATATGAGTTGTCAATATTTTAGCAAATTGGCCATCATGGCATTCAGGAGAAATGCCATTTGGGTCTGATTGATCTCTCCCCATATTTTTCAATTTAGGTTATGTTAGGATTATTTTTTTTATAAACTTGGGAAAATACATGAAAAAAGGAAGGGGTGCTTTTGTGGGTCAGAGCTTTGACTTCCTATTTTGGCGAAAGAAGTAGAAAATAGGGTGGCTGTAGGGAGACTAAGGTCAAAGGCTACAATGGGTTGTTTTGGAGAGTGTGAAAGTCATATCTGGGGCCTATAAATTGTCCCATTTGGATTCAGCCAGGGGGGAGAGAGATTTGGAATTGAACTTGGCCCTTGGGGGAAGGAGAGAGCCAACCTCTCGAAAGATTGGCAACCTTGTTCTGTTTTAGAGTGTGGTATCATTGTGTTGTGGTCTGTGTTTTGAGTGTGTGGCTGCTAGTTAATTGTGTTCGTGTATGTGAGTGTGAGAGTGTGATCTGTGTGACTTAAATCACCCTACATCTTGTAATCTGGCATATTATATAGTAATATTATAATCAGTTTCAGTCATTCCAGTCTTTGTTATCTATTTCTAGATTTTAAGTCCTGTTATATTAGAGGGTCCTATCAGGTTACCAGACACATTTCAAGCAGAATATGACTGATAGGTATAATCAATTTAGTGTTTGATAATTTTCTTTCTTCTGAACGGAACATTGAAGAGTAAAACATCTTGTGCAAGTTTTATTCAAATAACAATCATCTCACTAAAGCGCTGAGTGCTGTCTCACAGACACGCCAAATTATTCGATGATGCTCTACTTGGTTGGATGGGCAGCTTCAATTTTCTTAACATTGTCCCTCATTTGGTTTGTTGGAGCCCAAGAGGAAAAGGGACAATTGCTCTGTCTTGCTGCTTAGCTGTATGCTTGCTGTTACTTTCGTAATGTTGTGAATGGAAAACCCATATAAACGCATTGCCCCTATTCTTGCAGGTTCGTACGTGACTCACGAAACAAACCACTTCGTTTATTTCTATTTGGATCAGAAAGCAGTTTTACTATTTAAATCAGGCTAAGCTGTATTATATGGGTGACAAGGATGGACAGGAAGTTTCTTGTGATTAAGCTGCTATATTTAACTCCTGTATGTATGGAATTCACTGGCTCGCAAACTCGTTTCAGGACATTTTTGTGCTTGTATATTTTTCATGTAAACTGGATCTGATGTCTGGCTTTGAATTTCAAGTTCTCAATTCTAGTCCTCCCATTTGTTCATCTTCGTTGCATTTGTTTATTTGGTGGTGGGATTTTCACATGTTTGGTCGAGTCTTCCAATTAACTTACGGGTAAGGAGAATTTTTGTTGGAGTCCATAAAAACCGCTTGTTATGTTTTTCTCAAGGGTACATTTTTGAAAAATTGAAGATTACTGCATGTAATTTTCCCTAGCTTTATTCCTGCTGGAGCCCCGTTGTTGTTAAGTGGAATGGCAATGGATTGGCGGCGGACAGAGCTCGGGCTATGGTGGTTTCTTGGATTCGAAATTTGATATAGTATTAAGTGATCGTGATCAAGTGGATGCTTGGATCACTTTATGTTTTATGAGATAAAATTGTGTTTTTTTTTGTTCCAAGTGTTCTCAAACTGTACCTAAATTCCAATATTAATGTTGCTATTGCTACTATTGTTATCATATAAATCAATATTAAAATTGTATGATTTCAGAAAATTTGTGCCTTTTGAAAACTAATGTCACCATTTTCTAGTCGCTTTCTAAACTCATGTAAAACTGGATATCAAATCAGTGAACGTGTATTAGAGTTGGATGACTGAAAAATGTTTTTATAAAATTAAGGGATTAAAGGTAAAATCTAATACTCTTCCGGTCTTTAATATAAGATTTATTTAACTAATTTGATTAGATTAAAGAAATTAGGTAAGTTAGTTAATTATAAGAAATGTGATATATTTTTTTTCACCATAATCATCTTTCTTAATACTCTCTCCCCCCTTCTATTTGATTATGGTTGAGAGAGCATCCATAGGGGTAATTTAGAGAAAATTGATAAATATGAGAAATGGGTCTTATATTTAGAACCAAAACTAATTCAATAGTTAGGTCTTATATTAAGGACCGGAGGAGTATAAAATTAAAGGATAAAAATAGTATTTTATTTTAAAAAAATAAAAGGAGAATGGTGACCTCTTTCCAGTTCCTCACGTTAGCATGCTGCCGTCAGGATCCCATTGCGTGTACTTAGTTGTTTAATCTTTAACGAAGTCATGGACCGGTTGATATTCCACCAAAAAAGTATAAAAAATAAAAAATAAAGAAAGAAAGAAAGAAAAAAATTTTCCCCCTAAAATTTGACTTTATTCTAATTTTAGTTTTTGAAATTTAAAACCAATAATTTAGGTCAAATTTAAAACAGATTTAAATAAAGCCATATTTTAATATAAACTAAAAACCATTAATTTAAAGTTTTAGGGATCAAAATTACTTATTTCAGATTGTAAGGACCATAACAAGTCAAATTTTATGAACTAAAAATGATATTTAGCCAGCTTTTTAATAAAAATTATAAATGCTCGCTTAAGTTCTGTTAAATATCTGTCGTTTATCGGGTAAATGTCGTGGGAGTAATACTTAAAGTATTACTTAAGTATTACTTTACATCATTCCACCATTTGAAACAATTACGAGTGTAGACTTTTTATCAATATCAACAAATAATACAAAACTCATAGTATCAGTATATAATACTCATTCGGTGGCTAACGCATGACCCAACTAGACAAATGATATTGATCTTATATGTAGAATCTATTTCATATATTTATTAATTTATTTTTTAAAGTAATCTTATTTATATTTCCCAATAATAATCAAATAGAAAAAATAAAAAAATTAAAAAAGATGCTTATGATATTTAAAAATATATATTATATTAACTAATTTAATTAATATTCTTAATCTACTCAAATTAATTGATTAAGCACTACTATTATATGAAGTATCAGAGCAGTAATATTTAATATACACGCACATATATCTTATAACATAAAGTATTGTTTAAAAATAATTTAAAAATAAATAATTAGTCGCATCATAAATGTTGGAGTTACGCCACACTTAAAACTTTCATGTTCGAGACCTCTAAAGCACTAAATGCGCATGCCTCCTTAATTCCAATTTTAGTTAAATTAGTTTCAAAGCCTCAACTCTTGTTTGTTTCTTATCACTTTATTTTAATGCCACATTTGATTTTTAATATAAAAATGAATTGGGAAGGCTAAATTTAATCTTAAATATAAAACCTTAATGTATTTCATCTTCTATCTTTCCTCAAAATATCTATATTGATAACAAAGGATTGTCAGATTAACTATCGAACCGTCGTATTAAGCATCAGATAGTATTTCACACACCCATCCAGATTATTATAACATTGTTACCAAACAAATCATTAAACATTAGAAAGTTAACACACACACACACACACACACACACACACACGCAAAAACACAAAACGCATGAGGGGCTCACATCACGAATACAAATATTGATGACACAATACTAGGCACACGCAAATACACCCATATCACACTATACTGCGCACTCACACGCACTCATGCAAATACGGCACAACCATCCATGTGCAGAACACACACACACACACATCACATAACACCAAACTCAGGGTAACATGTCTATATACCATATTATATAGAATTAGGAACAAAAATTTTAACATGCAGTAGTCGTGAAATACCATAAATGCCCCTCTCAGAAGTATATCACTCGAAAGCAGTAGGAAACATCTCCAATATTAACTAACTCCTCCTTTGGGTTACCTAGCAGGAGGGAGGCATGGCCAAAGTGGTGCTGTGTAGCTTCTGTGCTGCAGAGTTAACAGGTTGGGAGCTTTCTCTCTGCAGGTTGGTGCCAAATTAAAGAGAGTTTAAAAAGGACGTTTTGGCTTCATACTAGGAAGCACCAGGACAAAGATTTCACGAAAACAAAAGACACGGGGTTAAAAAAGTGAAATTACAGACAAAACTCATTAAACTAGAGAAACAAAAACTTTTCGGTGTCTTCGATGATAATAACAAGGTGGTTCTTCTTTCACTGTCTCAGCAGGCATACCCACCGGCCCGGCTTCTGGGTCCTTTCCGATGACCGCGAGAAGAAGCCGGCGAAGACGACGACGACGAAGACGACGGTGAAGCAGACGATGTGGGACTTTTCATGGCTGCCAGAGAACAAACCTCTCTTTGAATACTCTCTTCCTCGTCCATGAATATCTGCTTGCACCTGCACTCCACGCTGCAAAACCCCCTGTCTCCCCTGTAAAAATTCAAGTTCCATTATCCAAAACCAAACTGGAAAAAAACACCAGAATAAGCCTTTCGACAGATCTGGGTGATTTATTCATAGTATATATAAGATCTGGGTACGAACAGAAACAAGGCATACTTGTACATGTAGATGTCTTTTCCAGGCAAGAGTCTCTTTCTGCAGAGAAAGCACTGATCAAGAAAAGGCAGTGCCTGATGATGGGAATAACTCGGAGGCGAAACTGTCGAAGAAGAAGGTTTGTTGTTGACGAGCATGATGGTGGCTTTGTTAATGACTTGAGTTTTCTTCTTGTCGCTGAGAACACTAACTTTCTGGGCTTCCAGTACCACACTGAGACCCACCATCGTTCATGATCTGGTTTTCGCTCTCGCTCTCAGAACCACTCGCACAGGTCTGAGGGTTTGAATCTCTGGTGGAAGAAGAACAATTTTAAGGGAATTACATAAATAGCAGAGAGAAAGAAGAAAGGGAATAGGAGATAGTACGAGTGGGACCCCTACAGCTATGGAGCAGTGAGAAAGAACGATTAGCGAAGACGACGATTTGACTGATTTTGCTGTGGGAGTGCCACGTATAGGTCCCTTTTTTTTTTGGTGTCCTTTATTCCTTTTAATAGGTGATACGCTACATATTTCCAGTTAAAAATCACTTTTCCGGAAAAAAAATTTGATCTTTAAATATAAGTGAATTGAAAAGTTGTTAATAATATTTTTTTTAATTTTACTCATATTTAATTTTTACTGAAAAAAGCATAAAAAAGAAAGACATACTTAATTAATGACTTTTAAGTGTTATTTCTTAGTATGTAAGAACTAAACAAATTATTTTTTTTTCAATTTTAACCAACATTTTTATCTATATAATTGGATTAATTTTTTTAATTTTATATAATTAAAAATATCACCACACAAACACGCTAATATTAAACTTGAACCCTAATTCTATCTAAACATAATGAACAATACTGACATTTCAATCATATGTATATTATATGCTGATTCTGATTCCAAATAAAAAAATTTACTTCAGAGCGTATGTATGCACTATGTAGTCAAAGGCCTCCTGGCCCAATGCCTCTACGGGCGTATTTGGTATGAGGGATTTGGAAAGGAGAAAGAAAGATTTTAATCATTTTTTCTTGTTTAGTAACATACAAATTTTAAGAGGAAAGAGAAAATTAAAAAAAAATTCTCTTCCTTCCCCTCCTCAACCTCCCCTTCAAAATTGAGAGGTTTTGAAAGGAAATGGCAATATTTTGTCATGTTGTGGCTATTATACCCATCTCTTAAATAAAATAAGGACAGAATTATTTATGTTAAAATATTTTTTCCTTCTCTCCTCTCATGAACTAAACAAAGTAATATTAAAACTCCTCCATTCCACTCTTTTTTTAAAAATCCAAACAAGGTAATATTAAAATTCTTCTACTCTCCTCCCCATCCCTTCCCTCCATTAAAATCTCTCCCCTCCTTTTCTTTTTATTGAGCCAAACACATCCAAAGTGTGATTCACGACATGCAGTATTTGGGTTTGATCCGACCAGCAATAATAACTTGCCAAATAGAAATAAGGTAAAAAAAAAAGGAGTATATGTATGGACTGATGAAAGTATATGTTGAGGAGATTTTGTCGGGTAGCATTGATGGGTGTTTGGTAGAAGCCAAGTGGGTGCATACATATGCGTCTCCAGATCTTGTCATGGCTAACGAGGTGAATGCTGTGTCGCATTTGATTTAACCATTGTGTGGCCTTTTAGGTGACCTGCTCAATCCCTTTCTCTCCTTCTCTTTCACCCTTTTGTCTTTTCCTTCCCCCATTCCCCTCACTTCATATCCTATTCTTGGCATCTTAAATGTTAAATTGATTTATATATAAATACAAACAATATGATTTATTAAATTTTGATAACTTATTATTATAAGTATGTTTCGCTCAAATAATGATAATCTTGTACAAGCAAAATTAGACTCATGACCTCTTATTAAAAAAAAATTTTGTATCATTAGGCTACAAAAGTCATTTGCTGCATTATTAAAAAAAACAAACAAAATTTGATAAATAGTACTCCTCCGGTCCTTAATATAAGACCCATTTAACTGATTTGATTAAATTAAGGAAGTTAGGTAAGTTAGTTAATTATAAGAAATGTGACACGTTTTTCCTAAAACACCATAATCATTTTTCTTAATATCCCCTCTCCCCCTTTTACTTGATTATGATTGAGGGAGTATCTTTAGGGGTAATTTAGAGAAAATTAATCAGCATGAGAAATGAGTCTTATATTTATGACCAAAACTAACTCAACAATTGGGTCCTATATTAAGGACCGGAGGAGTATTGTACAAGTTTGAAATTACAAACCATGTCAAATCCCTAACCCCTCATTTATAAAAAGAGATTTAAAGTCACTTAAAGTCATTTGCCACATTGTAAATATCAAATTTTGATAATAGTTTTGTGGAGGCTTGACATTCTCTTATTGTACCCTGGGGGCCTCATGGTCCGTTTTGTGGTTGGCATCCTCTCTTTTTGGCAGTGAAGTTTAGAATGCGATCTCAATTTTCAGTATATATATATATATATGAGACTGTCAATCATGAGCGATTTTTTATTTTTTATTTATTGTGTTCTTTAATTAACAAGTGAATTTAGTCTGATCTTAGAAAACTTTTGGGATTTAAATGAGAATAATCGAGCTTCAAATAAGAGCTCTTTGAACTCTTGGAATACACTTTGCCCCCTTTATTATCTATTTGATCTATCATTGGATTATGTATTTTTGGATCCCACAAGATTATTTCTACGCCTACACATAAAATTTGACAACTACTAATACTCCTCTGGTCCTAAATATAAGACCCTTATATTTAGGATCCGAGGAATATCATTTTTTTGTTCTTAATATAAGAATTAGATAACTAATTTATAAATATTAAGAAAATTAGTTAAATTATTTATTTGTAACATATAGACATTGTCTTTCCAAAAATATTCTCATTAATTATATGTATTAAAATTATCCTTTAGTGGAAACTCATTAACATGTGAAATCATTATAGTGATTACTTGGAGACAAAACGAATGAATGCTGAAAACAAAATGAATTAGAATTTTATATTTAAAACCAAATTAAATATGACTAGATTTTATGTTAAGGACATAATGTAATATAAATTACTTAGCAAGTATTTTCTAGTTTATCACCTAATGGTCATAAAATATTTCTAATTTATTTTATGATGTTTAGATGAAAACCAAATCATGATTTTAAAAGTAATCTTATAGTATATAATTTAAATATGCAAAGAAATTTTTCTCTGATTTACATTAAAACATTTTTTAAGAACACGTTCATGATTTGCCAAACGCAGAATCCTGATTTATTTTTTTAAGGACACAAACTCTATAATATGCCCCATCACGCCATGTGAGGCGCATCAAAGGTACTGCCCTCTCGACACAGTAACTTCGTGATGCTAATCTATAGCGGCCGTACTGGGATTATTTTATGAGACGCGATCCCAGGAAAACAAGTACATAGAGATATTTGTTTAATTTTTTTAATCTTTTAACTATAGTATTTGAAGATACTGGGAGATCCTGGTTGTTCCATTTGTACATTCTTAAAATCATATTTTGTGGATCCAATTGGACATTGCCACGCAGCTAATTGAATATTCGCACCCAGCATTTAAAGCACGGAAAGATTGGGGATGAATCCCTCCTTTCTGATTAGCAAATAGTCCTTAGAATGACTAATTACACAAGAGAAGATTAGATGCACATAAAGAAAGGTAAGTTGCATAAAAGGAAGATGTTTTGCACAAAGAATTATTTGGATATAAAAGTTAATTTGCATATAGGAAAGATAATTTGCAGATAGAAGAATTTTATTTGCACAAAATATAATTGAGTTACGCATTGTACAAAGAAAGACTATTGCACATAAGGAAAGATAAATTACACACAAAGGAAATTAAGTTACACATATTAGAAGTTAAGTTACACAGAGTCTTTAAGTCCTATTTACTAATTAAATTTTTCAACTTACCCCTAATTTTTTCTTAAAATGTTGCGCTGATGCTTTTATTTATTCATTTTTACGAGGGCTCTAGTGCTTGTAGTTGTAGGTTTTAGACAGAGCATACCGCCAAATATACTGTAGTTAGTCCATATCTAAAATACATTTGGATATTAATTAATATACCACGGGTATTTAATATAAGAGCTAGTTGATTAATTTGAGTAAATTAATAAAAATAGTTAGGTTAGTTATTTATAATAAATATATGTTTTTTTTCCTAAAATATTCTTACTAATCAAGTGTATTGGTTAATACTACTATTAATACAAAAACTATCTTAAAAAAATAAATATGAGAGATAAAATAAAATATAATCTTAAGATTAAAATAAAATTAAATGAATTCTCAGAAGAAAGTAGTATTAATTACATCCATTTTGTTCGGGTCTACAAAGAAATATTTATACGTAAATTTTGTACGCATGAAAATTAATGTCACCGTACGTACGTGCATTGAGCAGTTAACCTTAAGAAAGTCGCGTGCCATGCAAAATTTATGGTGGTTGGTGTAACTTTTCAATTTTTTTCCAAGAGATAAATATAGAAAATAAAGGGAGGTAGATAAGATATTATCCTAGAAGTAATGATTTGCCCTTGAAGAGCCAATACAGATATGGTCTTTAACAGAAAGATAACTGGAAAAGATGATGATGGAAAAGAAGAGTAAACACAAAGTAAAAGGCATATCAAAAGCCATCGTAATTAGTAAACCCAGCTTTATTCTTCCTCACTTGCCATTTAACGCTTCCCTCTCTCATAATGACTCATCATTAAAGTTTTTATTTCTTGGAACCTTCATTAAGTTGGGTTGGATGGGGAGGGAGAAGAAAAAAAAAGATCGAACGATTTTTCTATGAATGATTGTGGGAATAAAAAATATTACTCTTCCGGTTCTTAATATAGGACCTAATTCTTGAGTTGATTTTGGTCCTAAATATAAGACCCATTTCTCATATTTATCAATTTTCTCTAAATTATCCCTACTGATACCCCCTCAAACATAGTCAAGTAGGAGTAAATTGATAAAGTAGAAGTAAATTGATAAAGTAGAAGAGGAAGATAAAGTATTAAGAAAGATGATTATGGTGTTTTAGGAAAAATGTGTCACTTTTCTTATAATTAACTAATTTACCTAACTTCTTTAATCTAATCAAATTAGTTAAATGGGTCTTATATTAAAGATCGGAGGAGTAAAATGACTAGCCTCAATTTGGTCTAATCCGAGTATCGCGAATGGCAGTTTCGAACACCATAGAGCCTCTTCATCATTTTGCCCCTTTCCTTCTTTTTCCCTTATCTTCAATCTCCCAAGTCATATCCTTCGCGCACGTCATTATCTTCAATTCCTAATTAATCCT